ATAATATTTGTAAAGCACTTAGCACAGTGCCTGGGTCATTGTAGGTGCTTAATAAATGCTTGTTCCCTTCCTTCTTCATATAATCCCCTTTATCTCTAGAACCAGTATCTCCTTTCTTAAGGATCAGCTCAGGTGCAATCTCTTTTCAAGAGTCTTTTTGTGATACCTTAAGTTTTTAATGCTCCCCTCAATCACTGTATAATTATTTCAAATACATCTTGCATTTGCTTGATGATGATGCCTCTATGAGAATGATATAACTATCAGTGAAAACACTATATTAATTTATTAAATGTAAGCAGAGAGGGCAGGAGCAATTTCATTTCTGTATTTGTATTCACAGTATCTAGCAAAGTATTGGGCACATAGTAGGCACTTAATAAATGCTGAGTAAGCGAAAGAATGAATCAATAAATTCATGAATGGTCAAGTGAAAATTACCAGTTATGGAAAGGATCAGCAGACAGAAGAAGTAAGGAACATCTAGACAAAGTAGAAAAAGCACCATACTTAGAGACAGGAAAACCTAGCTTCAAATGCTTACAAGCTATGTGATCCTGGGCAAGTCACGTAACTTCTATGTCTGTTCTGTTTTTTCCCATCAATAAAGTAAGGGGTTAGAGTTGGGCTTCTGAGATGACTTCCAATTCTAAATTTATTATTCTAGGAACCCATGTTTTCTACTCACTGCCTTTTCCTTCTCTGCTTCCTGAAATCTGGTCAGTTTTAACACTATAAAAAAATGGGCAAAACTGTGCATAGTTCTCCAAATAAAGTGTGGCCCATGGTCTCTGATGTCGTAGTCTACCAGCAAGACATCAAGGAGGATCTTCCTGGGAGACTTATCAAAAGGCCTTGCAAGAAATGTGTCACTGACAATCAAAGGCCTATAGGCCCGAGGGCCTAGACCTTTCCTGGAAATGGAAGGAGTATTTTTCTTTAGCTTCTCTTCCATGAAGAAGCTTCCTCTTTCCAAAAGCAAAAAACAATAGTCATGCATTCGAGAAGCATGTGGGTAGGCTACAGAGAAGTAACTACAACATCTCTGAACAATCTCATACTTGGTAGGTGTTATTTTTCTATAGTACTATCTGGTACTGGCATCTCAGGAGCAATGGAATCCCAGGCTATGGAATACACATTTGTTTTGGAATGTAGGTATTTCTATACACAACCAAAAAATGTAACATTTATCTTTAAGACCACTTGAGTTCAATGGTCTAAGAAAAACGAAGAAAAACAATGAACAAATCTTAACTGGTTTGCTTTCTTTTTTTTCCAGGGGTAAGGGGACAGAGGAGTTCATGGAAAATGAAGAGATAAGGAGGACCAGTATTCTCAGCATCAATATTCCCAACTGCAGATCTTTCCCTTTTTTTTAATAAACAATCCAGATGTCTTAATATCCACTTAATGCATCCCATTTTAGTACAGTACACAGCAACAGTGAGAGCAAGAAATGAGAGAGGAGAGAGCAAGAGGGAGGTGGATAGGGGGGTGGGGTGGGGTATTTGAGAGAGAAACCTGGCTCAGTATATTAATTTATCAGTTTTCTTCAAATTTTAACCATGAACCATCTATTCATCTATTCATTAGCCATTAGGCTAATCTACAGCATTAAATTTTGATCTTTTCTAGTTTAGAATTCCACAAGCAAGAATTTCACTATGTATACTGAGATAACAATGAAAAAAAAGAGGAAAAGAATGGAAGAAAATGTACAAAAAGATGGATATCACACAAACATAGGATTTGGTTCTTAGCCCCAGGAAAAAGAAACTTTGGATGGATATGCACCTGGAGGTTTATGATTCTAAGTATATTTCTGTAGTCCTATAAAAGAAGAAAGTACTTATCTATAAAAAAAAACGAAAAATAAGTGCAAAGATCAAGAACATATAGCAAAATAACTTGTTGGCAAATACTTGAGAAAAAATGAAAGTATCATCCTTTAAAAGAAAGTGTTATTCTTAACAATTCTTCTAACTTTTCTAGCTAGTGTTAAACATGCTAACACTCCTCAATTTCTTTCCATCACACTTAGAAATGTAGGCTTCAAATAATAAAAACTAAAAATACGCATGGACATATTCTGTAATCTGATTTCCTCATACTGGTGTTGTGGTTTTCCAAATGGTAGTTCTATTTATCTGGTGTTCTTGGAGAAACTTCTTTCCTGGATCCTTATATTCTAGGAATTTAAGAACAGCAGCAGTGTGGTATGGTGAGAAAGAGCTGGAGCTGGAGTCAGGAAGACACAAGTTTTAAGCCCGGTATCTGGTATAAACTGGGTGTCTCAGCTCTCCAGAAGGCTCCCTCAGGCTTTAAGTGAAGAGCAAGTGCCAATCTGCATTGGTAGGAGGAATTTCCTTTATCAGTGACATTCTAGGCAAGGTCCAAAAGAAACTGACAACAACAAAAATAACAGCAGAAGCCATTACATAATTCCCTGGGAGCTCTCTTACTTCCTGGAGGACTTGAGGTGCAGGAAAGTAAGCGTTAATTAAAAACAAACAAACAAACAAACAAAAAATAAGTTTCTTTGTGATTGCCCCTAGTACAAAGTTGAAACCTAAAGACTGGCTTGGTTAGAGGCCTCCTTCTCTGGACGGCCAAACGAATGTTGGGAGGGACATATTAAAAATACAATAAAAACCCAACATTTCCTTTTCTAAATGGATATCTGTGACACGAAATCTTTCAGGGAGTCAGGAGTAGATATGCAATAAACTCCACTATCCACTTCATATAGTCTCACCCTCATAAAAAGAACATAAACAAGATCTTGGAAGTCAGTTTAACTTACAAGCCTGAAGGGAAAGACATATGGATGAGGGTATTAATAAGAAATATTCCAAGGCCTACATTACACTTACGATAGCCCTTAAGAACCATATATTAATAAGATTATAAAGTGAATTAAGGTAACCCAGTTACTTTGCTGTTTAGCTATGGAATTTCAAAATCAGGCATGTATCTGATTAAAGATGGTTTCCTAATGGGTTTTTGAAAAATAAAGAAGACTTTCCCAGTAACCTAATACTCAACATATAGATTTTTATAGTTTTGCTTTAACATATTTGTTCCTTTGTGATTGGTTGTTAGTACTGTGGTTAATGTGACAAAGTTCATCCAAATATCTGTTCTATGTAACCAATAAGCTTATTTACAGAGCATGTGCAAAATGTTACTAGTGATGACTCAAGCAAATGAAACTCTATCAAGCTGACCTTTAATTTTTAAAAATCAATTTTAAAAAAACCTTTAATCTCCATAAACGAAGCAAAGCAATGTTGGCTTGCATTAGATGATTCTAGAGCACTATTTCTAATAAAGTATATAACAAAAGGGCTCTTTGCTATTTCAACAAGTAAAATGGATCAAAGTAAGAATAAATTCCAAAAGATTTTATTTTCTGGATTAATATCTTTGATGGCATCTCCCAATTTTAAACTCAACATCTGTCTTCTAATTGCTCCCTATTATCATTCCTTAGGAAACAAAGGGCAGCTTTGGAAAACTAGGTCCTCTGAAAAGATGTCAACTTAGCAAAACTGAATTATAGCTTAGCATACTCTAAAGACTTTAAGAACATTACTTTAAAGTAAACTTTCATTTGGCCTAAATAATTACAAAGAATTATATTTCTTTCCTCTGTTATCCTTGAAATTAGGTAAACATGGTATCCAGTCTAATACTGAGGTTCTTCATGTTTTTTTGTGACAAAGACTCTTTTTTTTTATTTCAGGCAACTGGGGTTAAATGACTTGCCCAGGGTCACACAGTTAATAAGTGTCAAGTGTTTGGTCTGAGGCCAGATTTGAACTCAGGTCCTCCTGACTCCAGGGCCAGTGCTCTATCCACTACGCCACCTAGCTGCCCCCCGACAAAGACTTTTTAGGCACCCTGATGAAACCTATGGTGCCCCTTCTCAGAATAATTTCTTTTACATATAAAGTAAGTTTCAATAGATTACTAAGGAAAACAATTATACTGAAATACAATTAGCAAATGTGTGTGTGTGTGTGTGTGTGTGTGTGTGTGTGTGTATCTTTTAAATTCACAGATCTCAGGTTATGACCCCTGGTAGTAGAAAGAGCAGTGGGCTATGAATCCTGAAACTTGGATTTTTATCTTAGCTGCCATTTAATTAGCTGTGTGACCTTGGGCAAATCACTGCCTTTCTGTATTCAAGTTTTCATATCTGTAAAACGAAGGGACAAGGTAATCTCAAAAGTCTCTCCCAGCCCTAAATAGTATGATTCTAATAATACTGAAGCACTGTTCAAATAAAACCACCTACATTTGTCTCCAAAAGGACCATGTGTGGTTGGTTATATGTCTTTTTTTTTCCTAGAACACTAGCTCCAAGAGTAGCAACTGTGTCGTTGTTAGGTTTTAGGCACGTATATAATACACACAGTAGATCCAACAATAATATGCAGTAAAAACAAAAAAAAATGATGAGGTAGGATCTTAACTGAGGTGACAGAACTAGTTGTACGTTACTGGTTGAAGAAAATACAGAACAAGCAGCAAGAAAGATAAATAACCTCCAAATCAAAACCTGACTGAGGTAAGAGGAAGAAATGATGATTTAAGTACATTTACTACCAACAACATTATCAATCACCGAGTAACAGCAAATAATAGTAGCATCATGGCAAAACTGACCGAAGTTTCAACAATAATGTGACAGTTTATTTATTTGTTATTATTTTAATATATATTTTTCTCTCAAAATTTGTAAAATTTACCTCAAGCAAAGAAATTTAGCTCAAGATCCTCTAGTTGGAAACCTAGATGATTTAACAATTCCACACGGTCTCCCTAAGGACATATGCAAACATTAACTTTGGCATTACCTTTGTAATTTTTTCTTGAACCTTAATTTATAGCATTAATGGCCTCAAAAGGGCTAATCTCCAGTTTTAAGCACTAAACAATTTAAGAAAACAGATAAAAATTACTTTCAACATCTACTATAAATTTAGCTCATTTTAAATCCTAGAAAGTCCATTTCAACAATAAACAAGTAGATTTCTTTGATACCTACACTTGTCTCCCCAAAGGACACACAACAGGGAGACTGCCTTGAAGAAACCAAATGAAGTGGGAAGCCCTTCCTTTTCATTCCTCAGCTAGCTGGTGTACATTAGCCACCATCATGGCTTCTCAAGTCAGTAGGAAAGTCCAAAAATTTCAGCTTCTTTCTGTGCATCACATTTGGACACGGTGATTCAGTGAAGTAGTGAGTGGCCTCTTATTCCTAAGGCCGACACATGGAGAAGGCATGTGTCAAAAAGAGTGGATTATGTTATATTAAACCAATGCCACTCCACCCACAAGTTCAGCTGACTCTCTTTACACTGTAAGAGCAGAAGAATAACTAAAAGATCACTTCTACTTTTAGGAAATCTAATCAGTTCCTTCATTTTATGGATAAGTTGACTCTAGAGAAGTTAACCAGAACAAAGTCACATAGCTAGTTAACAGCATAACTGTTACTTTTCTCTTCCAAACTTCTACACATACTTAAAAATATACACATCTATGACCACTCCCCACTCACATTCTCTATACATGCAGTTTCATTCTCCTATAGCCTATATCCAAAATAGGCACCTATATATTTTACTCTGCTAATTTCCTGAAAATATGGCAGTATGAAGAGTTTAAAAAAATCTGCTTTGGGGGAAAAAATATGTTAAGGCTACATGCACATAAACAGCACAGTATCCTTTCAGTGCACAGCAACCAGGATAAGTTGGTTGTGGTTTGGCAGAGCAATAGGGAAGAAAAGAAGACTGTCAGATTTTATCTTACTGCAGCAGGCTGGTGAATGCAGAAAGCCTCAACTATTTAGAATCTTCCTTCTTCAAGTCTCACTAACATTTGCTGTCTCAATCAACATAATATGCAGACAGACACAAAGCAGATGCCATGAGTATATCCTAATGTATGGTACAAAGCTCAGCATCTAGACAACAGCCTTAGGGGCCTGGATGAAAATTCAAAGAGAGAGTGATCAGCTTGTGTGATCACTGGGCAGCCAGTCAACCTCCTAAGTTCTCATCTCATCTGTGCTTGACCCTGAGAGAGTCATGTGACCTCCCACATCCCATTCTTTCTTCTGTAAAAATGATACATAATGTTCCACCACTAAGAGAAAGTTGCCTCTATCAACACAGAAAACTTGAAGCAAAAAACTGGGGTGATTTTCTTTCTTTTTACTTTTTGTTTCTTTAAAGTGAGCCAAGAAACAATTAGATGGTTGTTTTTGTCAGAAATCAAGGAGCCCAGGGCAAAATGTCAGGCTGAATTTAGCCCCCTTCATTCACCTCCTAAAGAGTTTGGGTAGGATGTATAAGAGAGGCACAGAATTCAAGAATGTTAGAGTTTTCCCCCAACTCCTACACTGAGATGCTGCCAAAAACACACACACAAACACACATAGATGTGTGTATATAGGCACACATGAACATATGCACAGGGTGTATCCTTTCTTTTCTAGGCCAAAAGCCTCTTTTGTCTGGAATAATTCCCTCTGTACAAGTAGACACCCATGGATTAGTCATGAGTATTATTTACAATAAGGGGTAGGTTAGGAGAGTCAGCACCTTTACGCCACAATACTATAATGAAGCTTGTCTGCCAGGGTATATATACCTGAGATAGACTAGGAAAGTATAGTTCCCCTGTTAGCTTATTGTGGTAACTCGAGGAATAAAATACACTCAGACTCCTACAAGAGAAACACTTAATTGAGTGGCACCTCTAGCTAAAAATGATGATGCTTTTAGGGCAGCACTATTTATCTTAGTTTCAAGATTTCAACCTTCCTAATGATTTCTGTCTGAACAGAAGTGCCTCAGCCTTCAAGCACACAACTTATTCTCCCAGCTCAAAATTTCCTTAGCTTTACAAAAGTTTTTCCCCAAATCCCACGGCTTTAGAGTAAGAAAAGCATCAATGAATTGAAAAGCAAACATATCACCACCATCTACAAAGCCTAAATTGTTATCACTAAAAATGGTCCCTTCTTTATTTCAGGCTTACCATTATTTTTCAAACTTTAAATATCATTTTTGCTGTTGTAAAAGGTTTCTACATAGGCACAGGGAAGTAAGAACTTAAACTGAGTTAATCCAATAAGATTTTGTGCCTTCCTGACCAGGCTAATTTCTAATACCTCTCATTTCATCAAACCTAGAACTATGACATATTTGGAGAAATGTAAATAGCAGAGGCAGCTAGGTGGTGCCGTGGAAAGAGCACCGGCCCTGAAGTCAGGAGGTCCTGAGTTCAAATTCGGCCTCAGACCGAACACTTGACACGTTCGAGCTGTGTGACCTTGGGCAAGTCACTTAATCCCGATTGCCTCACTAAAAAAATAAAAAATAAATAAAAAAAATTTAAGTAGCACAGAGAAAAAGTTCTTCCCTACAAAATCTCTGAAGATGTCTTATTGTGGAGAATATGGGTCATAAAAGCTTAACTCTATCACTGTGTCCATATTAATAATGGAATAAGAGAAGTCCAAAAAAGAAAATACTGTCCACAGGAAAAACAGAGCTAACAAGGATATGAATCAGAATCAGCAGACCAGGCTAATAATCAGTCAAACTAATATTCTGTTCCCATTGAGCTTTATCAATGCCACTTACCATCTGAGTCTTTATCCTGTGCTTTGTCTTGTGCTTAGCTACATCCATTTCTTCAGAAACTGAGTCCTCCCTGGAATTATCCAGAAAATCCACTTCGTCTTCTGCTTTCATGTCTGGCATTTCTGAAGAGACATAAGGGGTTTATAAAGTGCATTTGAAATTGTGATTCCTTTCCTTTCTGTTCACACAACAGGCTGCTGCTTTTGTTCGATTTGTTTTTACTTTTATTTAAATAGAAAAGCATTCTTTCAGCAGCTGGTTTTGTTTCTGACACTACTAGGCTGCTCATTTTCCAAACAGTAGTGGAGCTGTTCCTGACCAAAACAAACCATGAGAATGCAGCCTGCTCATGGAGAAAAGTTAATAAAGGTACGGAGACAGCACTAGCTGAAGGTATAGACATATGGGCAGTGTCCAATAAAGCGTTGGGCATATAGCAAGCACTAAAATATTCGCTGAATAATTGTCAAACTTCCATCTTTTACTGTTGACTTTTCATGAAAAATAAGGCCCCTCTCATTTGGTTTGAGAAAACAGATCAATCAATCATTCAATCAATAAGTATTTACTAAGCCCCATGCTATCTGCCAAGCACTATGCTAGGTGCTAGGGATACAAATAGATAAATTCCTTAAGTGAGGTAACCATGCCTACCACCATTTGGAAAGGCAACAGACATTTACACAAGAGAGAGCAAAGGCTCACCATAGTGCTCTCTGGATGAACTATCTGGGATAGGTTGAGTCTTTACTACTCTGTGATGGCTTTGTAACTTACCATATACACAGATTAATTCATTGCTGCTGTCTATTTACATATATGAAATATATAAGACACGCCTTAGCAAATGACTGTTTCACATCCTAATTTCGCAAAGCCAAAAGATTGTACAAAACAGACACAATTATAATTTCACTACTTAGTAAAGGAGGTCTGAGAGGCACATATAGCCTGGCTTCTTCTTAAGATATACCCATTTAACTATTTTCTATTGACCTCTGAAGAACTGCTTAGCTGTCTTCAAGGTAACAGTCACAAAGTTACAGGAATACTGTATTTACTGAAGGGAAGAAAAGCCCAGCAGTATCATTTGAGACCAGAGACCATGTTCAACAGTGCACACTGTTGTAGTTCACAAATAGTGGTGGTTACTATTACCACTTATCACAATTTAGGTCAGAAAAATACAGGAAGGAAGTGATCAAATGATACCCTAGAAAAATTTAAGATTCTGTTACTTTCTAACAGGGAACTGTAAATGGACAGAACTGAACTTGATATTCCAAACATGAACAGATGACTATTAGAAGAGACGACATGTTAGAGGCCTATGATTTTATACGGGAAAACTCTTGTTTGTTAATTTAGCATAAAAGCCTTACTGAACTCATTATCCTGGAGGGAGACAGGACTCTTTATACAAAGGATATGGAGATTATTTTTAGCTGAAAATTTTTAAGATTTCATTCTGTCAATCCACTGTAGCAATTTATAAAAGTGCTACACTGAAATGAAGGCAAATGATGTTAGTGTATATACAGATAAGCATATAATAGACACATTATATGCTCATAAATACATATGTGTATGATGAAAATTTCATACAGCTTAGTAAGTATTAGATAATGAACATATACTTTACCCTTCATCTAGAGAAGCTAAGTCTCTTGGAGTTTAAATGTCACAGATCAAATAAAATGAAAACATATACAGTCCTTGGACAGGTATCTCGATCAAAAGTAACCTTTGAAAATGTTCAACCCTGATACTGCCTTATGAAATCATGGGTGGTTTGTTGTATATAGGATTTTGTGTGTGTTTTTTCTTTCTTTTTTTTTTTAAGGGGGGAGGGACCTTTTTGGTTTAATTCAGTACAATTTCACTTGGCTACACCTGTCAACTAAAAACATATATGTATCTTGGCAAGTAGCCACCAATCGTGACTATAAACTGATAGTGAGTGTATACTGAGTGTATACTGAGACAGTATACTGTAAGACAGATCTGGGTCAGCAATAAACCACCCAATTTCCCAAAGCAAAACCTAGGCAAATGTTTACACCTCTTTTCTAAAGCTGGAAATTTTGTGGGTTTTTTCCTTCTTGTTTTTCCCCATTTGAGTAAGTTTCTATTTGGTCTCCTAAAGAACAGCATGACAACACAAATAATACACACAACAGTTAAAGGGAACATGAACCTTTTAACTTTGCCATACTTTAATCTGCTCAGGACAACTAACTATGACCTTTTAATGAATGTCTAACAACCCCCTTCACTGTTAGATCACATTTCGCTGCCTGACTTCAGAATTAACATGTGGTCGGTTAACAGTTCCCTATTTCAAGAAGGAAGTGGCAATTCCCTCATTACTGGGTATTTCTTTGTACAGCTAAGGCTGGAACAGAACTAAGGATATACCTTTCCTATTGGCAGAGCAAGTCTCTACCCTCACATACTTATTTATCTACTTTTGCTACTTAAAGCTTTCTTTTAAAACAGCTGCTTGGGCTATTCCCTCTAATTCTGGGTTGTTAATAACATAACTTTGAATTTCCTGCTCATCCTTAATTCTTGCCTAAACCTCCCAGATTTTCTCTCTCTGTTTTCTACATATAATGCAACATGTGAAAAACCAATGTAGCTCACCCACTCTTCATTTTAAATCTCAGCCACTGAGGTGGAAAAAGCAGTAATTTCAACCCATGTGTCCCAAGAAGCAGCATTCGAAAGAAATGAACACTCAGGCACCAGCTTACAGCCCCTCCTGTTGTGGTGAAATGTCAACCGGCCAAAGCCCCCAAAATAGACTCCTCTATTTTTTTTAAAAGACAGCTTCTGATTCATATTAGAAGTCCTGAAGTAACAGCCAACAACTTTTCATCTCTAAATATCTGAAACCCTCCCCAAAACTTTCAAAACCTGAAACCTCCAAAATGTCTAGAACATACATATTCAGTTACAAAACTGAAAACCAGAAAGGAGAAAACCTTCCCTTGAGGGAAAGTAACTGTAAAGTATTACTACGGTAGTGAACATAGCTAATGCCTGACATGACATTGGTTCTTTCTTCTACTGGTCTACCTCTACCCACCCCATTTTTGTATGTGCCATTTTCAATATCCCTAGGGGAATAGCAAAACACTTCTTACCTAATCCTTATGAACAAAAATAAATAACGTCTAACCAGCACAAAGGTAGCTCTTCCCTTCTGTGCCCCAGCAACAGGTGATCAGGCAAAGTCTGGATTAAACTGGCCTTACGATTTCAAGAGGTAAAACTGTCCTCTGCTTCCACTTTCGTCCCAACTCGCAAAAACATGAGGTTACGCTGGAATGGCCCCCTTCCACTGAACGGTGGTTTCTATTTACTGTTTCTGGACATGGTTACCCATTGATTGAAGAGGTCGCCGTGTGAGCAATCTCCTTACTGCAGCTGCTTCACCGAGATAAGTGGACACAAGGTTTGCCCTATGACAGCATACTTAGAGGAGGAGGCTTAGCGGAAATCCTGTGTGGGGAACCCCCTCTGCCCAGCCCCCAGCCCTGTACACTGTATAAGGCTCTGAATTCCAGGGCTCTTGCATTAAGTCAATAGACAATGTGACTGAAGGTTTTCTTCACAGGCAGGAAGAGGAGGGAGTTTTGTTGCTGTTTTTCACTCTTTGCTCTCTTACAATGACCTAATACCACCATTGAGGAAGCTGGACTGCTAGTCTGGAAGGACACTTAACAGCTGTGGTTTACTACTATAAAGAAAGCTTCTCCATGACCCTGGCTATTTTCTCTGAACCTGAACTGACAAAGAATGAGGGAAAGGAACAAGTCAGCTTCAGATATCTAAGGACACTGTTCCCAACACTCTCCTTTCAGCCTCACATGAAATACTCCAAACACAAGTCCAGCCTAATATTTACTTTGGCAAGGGTAGTTAAATCATGTGAATAAACTTCTGTAGAAGCCCCAATTTGGGCTTAATTGATCTGTCACCCAGATACTTTTCTCCAGGTTTAGAAAACTGCAGAGCTTATGTGCGTACCAGGCATAAGAACTGACAGGTGATGGCAGCTAAACCATTCAAAGTTTAAAGCAATTCAGCTAAGAATTAGGCTAAAACAAAATCTCTTACATAACAAATATGACTGCATGGATGTTATGAAATCCTAAAGAATTAATTTTACATAAAGAGCCAAAAAAAAAAAATGACACTTCACTGCCACACCTGAGACACATTTGGAAAAGATTGCTCATTTCAGCTTGCTTACCTGCCACAGGTTCAGATTCTTGGGAGTGTCCAGGTGCCTTTTCCCGTTCTTCTCCTTTGGTTGTCCACACTTCTGAGTTTACAACTGATTCTCCTTTAGCAGGTCCATCTTCTGGAGTCATCCAGGGTCCTTCTACAGCAGCACTTTTCTCTAGCTCCTCAGTAACAGGGTTTGGCTTAGGAGCATCACACTGTGGAGGGCTACTGCTTTCTCCCCTGGTCACCCCACCTGTAGCTCTCACTTTTTCAAGAATAGTATCCACCAAATGGTTGGCAGTTTCCTCTATCAGGTTTTCTCTCTCCAGCAAATTTGAAGTATTGGCCTGAATAGGCAGACTTTGAGAGGGAACATCTCGGGAGCTTGTCTTTTGTTCAGTCCCATCCCCATCAGGCAAGGTTTCCTTGGTTTTGTCCACACAAGGGGTGTTGTCGCCCTCACCTGCCAAGGGCACCATGTCCCCAGTGACGTCGTTCTCACAGGGCAGCAGCTCTTCAGCAATGGGCTGCAGTAACACCCGTGGTACTACACTGTCTACCTCTGCTTCCTTCAGATGTCTTAGTATGGGGACAGTTTCATCTGCCTCCCCTTTCTCCTTACTAGCAGGCAGCACTTCTGTGATTACAGTTTCCTTCTCCAGGATCTCACCTTCTGGTGGGGCTCCTGGTAGGCCCAAGATTATATCATTCTCTTGGTCTGCCATGTTTTTCTGCACCAGAACATCCTGGTGGCCACTAGGTATCTCCTTTGTCCCCAACACAGAAGGATCCTGGGTAGCCTCCTCTCTGGAATCCACAGTTACATTTCCACTCTCTTCACAAGAGGAGGAGTCCCTTTTAGACTGAGTCTCTTTTACTTCAGGTTTTGCAGCCACTGACTTTTCCCTGTCACAAGCCTCTGATCCATCTTGTTCGGGGTAAGCTTTGGTTTTGTTTGTCGCTGCCAGCAATGGCAAGCCACACTCTCCAGAGCCAAATGTCCACTGCCTGTCTGCAGACAAACCAGCTTCTAATGGCACCTGGCACTGTACAGCTGTGCTTTGCTCAGCTCGCAGTGAAACTTTTGCAGCCACTTCCTTGTTTTGTTCAGGTTCTGCATTGAGAATGGCAAAGGGTGTGCCCACTGAATTATTATTGTGTTTCAGTATTCTGCCCTCAGCACATGAGGCTAAGACAGGTTGATCACCAAGCTCTGATGTTTCTTCTCCAGGAGGTGGCGTCTCCTCTTCAGGCAAGGAAATTGAACAAAGTGGATCGTCTTTAGTTATAGAACAAGCAGCTGCTTCATTTTCTTCATCTTGTTCCTGAACTACAGTACTTTCTGGCCCCACTGGCTCTTTGTCTGTCCTCGACAAAACTGAATTGGCAGGCAAAGCAGTTGTCCTTTCACTGGGTGCAGAAGAATCTGATTCTAACATATCCACTGTCTTGTCATTAAGACCTTCAACCCCACTGTCCCCTTCTGCAGAACTGGAATTTCCCATACTTAGCTGAGAATCAGGAGCAGGAAGAAAAGATGGCAGGCTCACCGAGCTGTCTTCTGTCGGCAGTTTGTTGGGCACAAAGAGCTCTAGTGCTGGGCCACAGCAATATTCTTCTGCCTTTTTTTCAGGAGTTGCTGTTCCCTTTTCTTGCTGGGAGGGAACAAAAGAAATCGCATCATCTTCGGTTACTGATTCAACTGAGGGCCTGTCTGGCTGAGCGAAATTATTTTCAGATGCCATTGCCTGATCCAGGATAAAACTTTCTTTTGCTTTGATCAAGGCTGGATGAGGAGGTGAAACTGATTTATGCCTGGGTGGTGAAGAAGTATCCAGTTTTAAATCCTGTGCTAGGTTATCTTTATTTAAAATTGCTATAGAATGGAGAACTTCAGGTCCCTGGTTATCTCCTTCAGGATCAGGGACTCCCTCACTCAAACATGACTCTTTCATCTGAACCTCAGCAGGTGTATTTGGTGAATTCCCCTTCACATCCTTAGAATGGATAGGTTTGCCATCCTTGCTCTCTGCTTCCGTGTCTCCACAAGGAGTCACTGAATTCTGTTTACGTACAAAATCAAAACTAAATTTGTCCTCTTCCGTTGTGCAGCAGATGGTTGATTCAATTTCCTGATCTTGGTCTTGAGCTGAGCTGCCTTTTGATGTCTGGTTCAAAACTGGCTCTTTTTCTGGACTGATCAAAGTTGAATCAGAAGGTGAGCCTGTCTTACACATGCTGGTTAAAGAAGAATCCATTTCTAACTCTTCCAACACCTCTTCTTGACCAGTGGCATCTCTTACTGAAGATGAAATGATCAGGGAGTGTTGATCCCCAACCCCCTGGTTCTCTGCTACAAGATCTGAGTTCTCTTTGCTACTTCTGCTTGAAGTTTCAGTTCCTGGCACAGTTTCTTTAGTAATGATTTCTCCTTTACCAACTGTAGATGAAGGCTGAAGATGTTCATTGCTGTCTAAGGAACTTGGAGAGTCAATGCCATTTGGAACACTGGGCTCCTTCACAAGGTCACTGTTTCTTTCTACATCCAGGGTTCCAGCTCTGCTGACACTGGAGTTCTCATTAAGTTTATCAGTTTTACTTTCCTGCATTTCACACACACTCTTCTGGAGAGTGGCCTCGGGGCTTTTGAGATCACATTTCACTTCTTCTGTTGCTTCTGGAGTTGCACACTCTGTTTCTGAATTGGTGACTCCGTCAGCCCCAGGGACATTTTGGTCTTGGCTCTGCTCACTGATATGTACTTCCCCTGTGGCACCATCTCCACTGTTCATATGTTCATGGTCCAAAACAGTTCCAGGAGATGTCATTCCAGTTTCCTCATTTGTATTTCCACAGGATGGAAGGTCTTCTGTGTTATTCACTCTAGCAGGTGTACTCTGTAAGCATCTGTCCTTCTCTGATACAATCTCAGAGACTACAAATGGTGCTGGCTCCACCTCTTCCTCTTTTCTCTCCAGGGCTTTATCTTTTCTCTTACAGGAACAATCTGTCTTCCCTTTGCTCATCAGGTTTGATAGATCATCTGATTTTTCATCCAAACTAACTGAGTCCCCTTTGTGGTCAGGGTTGTCCATGCCTCCAAGTCCAAGTGGAGAAGAATGCTGCTGGCCATCCACATCCAGGTCACTCTGAGCAGGTGGAGGGTCCTGTGATGTTATCATTAAGGGGATACGGTCCTTTGTCTGTCTGAGGTTCATTTTCTGCAAAGGCAAAAGAAAATGTCAGTAACATAAACTTCATAACTACATGTGTTATAAGGGAATGCAAGCAACAGTCACATCTAACAGAACCACCTACTTTGTAAGGTGACTGAAGTCCATCTAAAACTGTTTTAATTTATACTTACTCTTACTTTTCTCTCTCATACTGCATAGTCACCAGGAGCTTGAAAGTTGCTCATGATACTCAAGACTACTGTTTCCAGGAATCAAATATGAGCTTATTCTAAAGAGTAGGATTAAATTTTAACTCCAAAGTGTTGGACAAATGTGTATCTGAATGCTGGTTTAGATGAACGACTCGGGCAAAATGCTCTTTAGGCCTCCTCTCCAAGGGATACACAACACTTCCAACTTCCTTTATCCATTCCAAACATAAACAAATTCATGACAGTTTGCCAAATTTCCCCTAGTTCTAAGGTGCAGCCAAATTTCCAGATGCCCCAAATATTTACAGAAGTATTATACCACCCTTTAATCCTACAAATAAACTCCACCCTATCCATCTTCTAGCAGGAGTGGGTTGACCTGAGTCTTTCTTAAAGGCTATGAAGTCTTTAAAAAAAAAGTCCTGCTCATCAAACAGCTTTAACTATAGGCTAATAATTTTAGCCTTGGCAGTAGTTGCCAAATCTCTTTCACCTTTTTGGTGGGGGGAAAGTATCTTTCTGTTAGCTAATATGGTAAATTTCAGGTATAGAAACTTGTATTTTTTCTCTTTAACTCTTGAGCCTCACCCATTCTCAAATGAAAGTAGTATGAATGTATCACAGTGGATTGAACTAGAAATCAGATACTTCTGCTCATGGCTCAATATCTGGTCTACTCTACAAGCTCATACGCATCTAACTGCTTCAGCTTCCCTACTGGTAAAATTGGGGTTTCAGGGCTTTTAATAAAAGTTAGCCAATACATAATCATAAAACTTGTTCTGAATATTAGAGTCTTAATGATAAAGTGGTCTTCTTTGGGAACCTGAGCATTGTGACCTTCCAGCTTCCCTTCCCTTCAAAAGGATAGGACATGAATCAGTCTTAGGTTCTACCATGAGAGTCAAAGTCCCACAAGTGGTAGCAGTTCATTGCTCATTAGGTCAAAAAACCAAAAGTACATAATGGTTCAGTTGGCTTTAGGGCAACAAAAATCTATCAAATGTCTGGAAAAAAAGCAGGTGATTGAACTGACTCAAGAGTGCTGAGCTTTTCTACGTTAACCAAAAAGCATACGGATGGTGGCTGTCCTGACTCACCCCTCACTTTGCCTGCCTTATCCACAGTAGAGACCCCCTTGCCACTTTCAAGAGCACAGCTTCAACTGGATTGTCAATTGCCTTACGGAAAGAGACCTAAAAAAAAGGTGTCTGATTTCCAGGGAGCACATACAGGCAAAAACAAAAGTGAATCTTGTTCTGGGATAAGCCTGTCTCCGAAAGGGAAGAGGCGGAGACACCACACGTTCATGGAATGAAGTCACCAGGCCTAATGGACTGAACAATGATGCCTGTTCCAGAGGAAGCCTCTGGTATTTCAATGGCCCTGAATGAACCTAAATTAAATAATCGCAAAGCTGCTTTCCAAAATCAAATCTAATTAATGATGAATAAAACCTGGATGGAAAAAAGAACCTAAACTTAGCTTTTCAGATCATTTATGAAAACTATAACTAGTGAGTATGTATTACTTGGCTTCCTAACAGCAATTTTCATTGAGAAGACACATTTATGATAAAAAGCAGTTGCTTTTAAGTTATTTATCAGATTTACAAACACAACTTAATATAGCCATAACATAAAAAAATTCAAAATGTTCTAGTGTAACTTTTTTAAAAAAATTACCAACTATCTCAGAAAATAAATTGTATATTTTGTCTTTCAAAGTCAAACCAATATACCAATATATTTCCTTTATATAGCTCTGAGCTCTGCTATGACTAAATGCTATATATCTAGTCACTGCTTGAGTTGCTTGGCAAAGGCCAATCAGAACCAAAACATTATTATATCTGGAATATAACAACAAGGTCCAGAAACTTATCATACATAAATAAACATAAGAGTCATTTGCAAGCACTGATTACTTGCCAATGTTTCTAGTTTCAAAAAACTTCAGGATCCAATTTAAAGTTCCTATATTTGGCATTTAAAACTCTATTCAACTTGGCCCCTTCCTACTGTCTTTATCACTCTATCTCTGTTACTGCACTTGCCTTTGCACTGGCTGTTCTGAATACCTGGGATACTTTGCCCCCCTCACTTCCATCTCTTAGTTTTCCTGGCTTCCTTCAAGACTCAGCTCAAATTCCCCCTCCTAGTTCCTTTCTTTCTCAGACAGCTTTCCATCTACTAGGTACAAATCCTGCCTCACACAGTTTACTAGTTCTATGACCCTGGGCAAATCACTAAATCTCTCTCAGTCTCAATTCCTCATCTATAAGATAGGCGGATAATAATAGTACCAATCTCAGAAGACTGTAATGAAAGAACATATGTAAAGTGCTGTGCAAACCTTAAAGCATTCTACAAATGCTAGCTATTATCATATCTCTTGTATAAACCTTGTTATTTACACACTATCTCCCAGGTAGAATAAAAATTCCTTGAGAGTAGCGAATGTTTTTGCCTTTTTTTTTTTTGTATTGCTATTACTTAATACAGTGACTAGCACATAGTAAGTGCTTAATAAATGCTTGTTGACTGAATGCCCTAAATCTAATCAAAGTTAATTTTACCAAGGAATCAAAGGCTTGAGGTATGAATTGTTTGTCCTCACCATAAGCTGCTGCTGGATGTTCCTGAGTTTAAAAATATGTCCTGTCCGACTGTCTCTGGGGTGTAGGGATTCCTCATCTGATTCAGATGTCAATGTATAAATGTCCAACTCTCGGTGATGTCTCACAGAGCAATCCCCATAAGGTATTTCATAGGACAAACTGCTCCACGAGTCAGGTTCTCCAGCATTCTCCCTGAAAGCAAACAATCTCAGGTTAATACATAAATAATAGCTGACAAGCAGTAGACTTAGAGCTATATCTCTGGATCTCGGCTTAAATTACTGATCTAACTGATTACCTTTTGCAGAAGCAGTTCCGTAGGGACTTGATTTAACAAGCTTTACTTACATGCAAACATATACATCCATCCCCACCCATCACCCACTGTAGTAAGAGCCACAAACAGGTTAACTGGGGGGCAGAGGGAGAGAGGAGATCAAGAACCATTGCCAGGGAAGATCAGAAGCAGCTCTGAGTTCTCAAAATGATTAATATTCTGCTAACTAATGAGTAATGAGGAAGTACAAGGAGGTGACTTTTAGTTTGGTTACCCATAGAAACATGGCTTATAAGAACGACTCTTCTGTGTATTATTTGATACCTTAGGCTGATTTCAAATGACAGCAGAGGCAGGGGCCCCAGTGCATGTAGGGGATATTTGAGGAGTAGGAAGCACCCTCCAATTCCTCCTCCTCCCCTTCTTCCCTCCCCCTGCAGAAATTCTCAATGTCAACCAAACAGAGAAATACTATTGACTATTCTGTTCTTGTCAACATGACCACCCAACATAGAAACCATTTCCAAGCAACTCAAAGTGCTTTCAATGATATTTTAAAATATTCCAAGATAATGTAGTTATTAATGAATACAACACAGAATCATCTTTGTGACATAGCAAAGATATGGCGGTATATAACAAGACATCAAAAGAGAAAGATCCTTCCTTCCTAGTTCTCTCTGGGGTTAATACTCTGCTTTTCCAAAAGTTAAGAATCACGTAATCAATGAACAAACATTTATTGAGTGCCACTCACCGAGTTAGGTACTAGGAATTTACAGATGAAAATACAACAGTCTCTGAAAACAAGAAGCTCACAGTACATTCCAATGAGGGGAAACCACCCCTTCAGTCATCCAGGTTCTCAACCTATGTGTCATCTTCCAACTCCCCACTCTTCTATCACTACTCCTTCCCCCTACCATATGCAATAAGTTGCTGAGTCCTGTGGCTTTTTCTTTTCTAACTTCTCTTCTCTGACAACTTGACCACCTTGGTACAGGCCCTCCCAACTTTATGCCTAGACTATTGGTTGATAGCCTGTTGGTTGACTCCCCTGCTTCAAGTTCCTCCATATTCCAGAATATCCTCCTGATTTTAAATTAATCACCCTAAAGCACAGGTTGGACCATGTCACTTCTCTACTAAAATGGCTCCCCATTACCTCCAGGATCAAATTTTAAAAATCATCTGGCTTTCAAAGCCCTTCATAACCTAGCCCCTTCCTATACCCTAACCCCATTCACACACTTTAAAACCCAGTGACACTGGTCTCCTTGCTGTTCCTTACATAAGATACACCTCCCAACTTGGAGCATTTTCAATGGCTGTTCCTTATGTCTGGAACTCTCTCCCTCCTTATCTGCACCTCCTGGCTCTCTTTTCTTCCTTTAAGCCTCAGCCAAAGTCCAACCTTCTGCAAGATACCTTTCTAGTTCCTCTTTAATCTCAGTGTCTTCCCTCTGAGATTATATCCAATTTATCCTGTATATCTCTTGTATGTACCAGTTGTTTGCATGTTGTCTCCTGCATTAGACCAGGAGCTCCTTGAGAGAAACGACTGTTTTTTGCTTTATTCTGTAACCCCAGTACTTAGCACAGTGCCTGGAACATGCAGTAGAGTGAGAAAAACTTGAGGTACAAAACTATGAAAAAAATAAGGAAAGTTATAGGCATACTAATCGTTATAAATTACTCAATTAGTTTGTTAGGTTTAAAGTGTTAACCTGCATTTTAGGCTTTTTGTTTTGATTAGTTTTCTAGTACTGGTTCCTCACTTCACTCCAACCTTTGAGATCACTGCTTGTTCATACTAATTCAGCCCTCAAACCAGAATGATTTCTGTTTCTCACTTACCCAGATCCCTAGGGGGACAGGGTCCTTTCACTATAGATCCTAATCTTACGACCTCAGCCCTCTACATACTCTCAATTGATGATTTAATCTACCCCACTGCTACAATTATTATTACTGTGAAGATTATTTTTAATGTTTTAAAAATAAATTTATTGATCTTTTATCCCTATATCATCTACATATCCCCCTGCATCCTTCTCCCAGAGAGCCATCTCACAAAGCAAAGATATTTTTTAAAGAAAAAAAAAGGGGGATGGTACAGGGATCAGCAAAACTGATCAATATACTGAAAAACACTGATGATATATGCACCCCACGTTTTATGCAGATGATGATTAGCTTCATCCCTAACACTCCCCCAAGGTTTTGTAACCTGTTTGTAGCTGTCTGCTGATTATTTAAAAATCTAAGTGCCCAAATAGAGCATGAAAATTTTAAAAAACTAACAATGCAGTCATCTTCTCTCGCCTTCCTATCTCCTCCAATCCAAGGCAGCTCCTCAGTCTGGTTTCTCTTTATTTATGTCACTACATTTTCTCTGTTGCCCAAGCTTGAAGCTTTGAAAACATCTGTGATTCCCCTTTCCCCTCTACATCCAATTGTTGTCCAGTTGTTTCAGTCATGTCCAATTCTTTGTGATCTCATTTGGGGTTTTCTTGGCTAAGATACTGGAGTGGTGTGCCATTTCCTCCTCCAACTCATTTTACAGATGAGGAACTGAGGCAAACAGGGTGAAGTGACTTGTCCAGGGTCACACAGCTAATAAGTGTCTGAGACCAGATTTGAACTCAGGAAGATGACACTTTCTGACTGCAGGCCTAGCACTCTATCCACTATACTACTTAGCTGCCCTCTACAACCAATAGAGTCTTGTAATTTCATATCTACAAACATTCTTGCATCCATTTCCTCCTTTTCATTACCACTGGTATCAACTCCATTCAGTTGCTAATTGGTCTGCGCTATTGTAAAAACTTCCTAAATGATCTCCCAGCTCCAGTCTTTTCCCCTTCTAATTGATTCTAAAATGGGTCTGGTATAGTATGAACCTTTCCACAATCACAACTTGAGATGCTGGCACTCCCTAGCCTGGAGTGAATGAAATGAACGAATGAATGAAAACCACTCTCTACAGAATAAAGTCCAACTCTTTAAGATGGGATTTAAGGAAATATATGTTCTGACCCCAAACTACCTTTCCAGCTTGATTAACTATAACTTTTCCACACTGGTCATTCCTCAAATATGCCTTGTATTTTCTGCTTTTATTTATAGCATTCTCTTTGTTTGGAATGCCCATCACTTTCCCCCTCCCCAAACAGAACACCTCTACAAAAATTCGACTCCTCTTTCAAGACCCAGCTCACATGGCACAAAGGCATCTATGATCATTCCTCACCCTACAACAAACTGCAGCGCTCTCACCTTTCTCTGACCTCTCTTGGTATTTTGACCATACCTTCCTGAGGACATTCATACTGTATACTGCCAGGTACTAATCTAGTTACTTGAATACTTATTGTATTCCTCTTTTAGAGAAGTACCAGGACCTCCCACTCCCTACCATATGGTATCTTACAGAAACTGGCCTGTAGTGGACACATACATATTTCTGAAATAAATAAATGACTATATGGACTGTGGAAGAGGTGGGTATTGAGCAGAGGGGCAAGATGGGGAATGTGGACAATTTTCCAGTTCCTCATGATTGAAGGTTTTGTGGTCTGGCTTTAAACTATGATGTTCTCACAATATCTTAAATTCCAATATTTATATGTAAGTTTACCAAAAAATCACAAGTCAAATATAAATAATTTTTAGATTTCTGTTGCTTTGGCTCACTGATGTCCCTGCTCTCAATCACGAAGACACACAAGGGAGTTAACTTAAAGGAAAACAGACTAAGCTGATGAAGGCTTTTGCCTAGAACGTTAAATTCTCTTGTTATCTGAACCTACGAATGGGGACAGCAGTATAGATAAACCAAAAATAATTATACTGTTCTTTGCTTAAACAAATATTAACAATTCTTTGCATTCCCTGAGCACATAAGAAAGGCTAGTCTTAGGAAAGAAGCAGGGGGAGAAGAGAGGAGACAAGGCTGGAAACTGCCTTAGAAAGGCAGCTAGGTGGTACTGGGGATAAAGAGCTAGGCCTAAAGTCAGGAAGACCCGAGTTAAAATTCTGCCTCAGACACTAGCTGTGTGACCCTGCGCAAATCACTTAACCCTGTTTGTTTCAGTTTCCTCATCCGTCAAATAAGCTGGAGAAGGAAATGGCAAACCACTCCAGTATATCTGCCAAGAAAACCCCAAATGGGGTGGTCACGAAGCGTCAGACATGCCTGGAACAACTGAACAATTACCTAAGAACATCTAGGACAGGGAGCACTGCTCATTCTTTTTCTGAACATCTCCAGAAACAATTAACTCTAAAATATTTCTTGGCAGCTAAGCCACATTTGAAAGGCAGAGTAGTGTGATGGAATATATACTAGATTTGAACTCTAAGGGCCTGAGTTCAAATCCTAGCTCTGTCACTTATTTAAGGACCTTGGAAAAATCATTTAACCTTTTTTTCTGGGGGGGGGGTTTCTATTTCCTCATATTCAAAATTAAGGGTTTGGACAAGCATGCCTCTTGGGGCCCTTGCAGCTCTAAGTCAGTGAGCCTATGAAATCCTGACTCTGACACTTACAGGAAGTAACCACCTCTAAGCCTCAATTTCCTTATATAGCAAAAGAAGATAATAATCAGAATACACCTGCTCTCCTTGCTTCTCAGGGTAGTAGTAGTTCACAGAGAAATTTAAATACCACTTTCTACATGATGCCTTCTTGATCTTCCAACTGTTGATGCCCTCCCTCACTGATCCATTTTTGTACCTTACGCTGATTTTGTATTCATTCTGCATGTGCCTCTACCTGTATGCATTGTCTTTCCCAAAAGAATGTAAACTGCTTGACAGCAGGGATAGTCAAAGCTTAATCAGTACCTGTGGAATGACTGAGAGGTATGAGGAAAGCACTGTAATGGATCACAGAATCCTAGATTTTAAA